TGAAGAATGACACACTCAGTTTTTACACACTCTCACCCATCCTGGCAGCAGTTCCTTGGCTCTCCAAGCAGCTGGTTGCAGGAGCTGCTGCTGCATCCGAGCCCTGAGCTGCAGCAGGAGCAGCCACCCATGGGCACCTCAGCAGAGCTGGGGGGTGGAAAATTCCTGATCCTGCTGTCTGGTTAGGGCATCCGACCACAGTCCCACCAGGAGCTGGAGAAACATTTCCCTTCTCTTCCCAAATGCAGACTTTTCCGTGCAGGTGCAGAAGCAGCACCAAAATGAGCTGCCCCTTGGGTGAAGGCTCGACTTGCTGCCTTTGTGTTCTTCAAGTGGAGAAATGATGCACCAGCTGCCTCCAGACACCTCCTGGCATCCCTCTCATTCTGTGACCATTTTAGCCTCCTCTTTTGTGCAGCAAAAATAAGTTCATTAAGCTTCATGAAGGACAGTTACTGATCAGATGGGCACAGAGTTTAAACTGGATATTGAAACATTCACTTTTTAACAGCTGGCCTGACAGGTTAGGATATGAAATGTGAAGGAGACACTTCCCTTCAACCTTTCTTAAGAAAAACCAGCATCTAAGCAATTAAATGTCAGCTATTTTTGGGCTTTCTGCTACAAGCACAGCAAGAGACCCAGCACAGCAGCCTGCAGCACATACAGATGCCAGTTTGGAACTGCAGTGTTCAAATACAGATTTGATAATATCTGGGTTTGCTGAGAATCCACACTTGTAGCTGGGCACAGTGGGGTCTGTGTCACTCATCCTCTCTGCTCACAAGCCCTGTTTCTAGGAGATGTGCACAGAGGTTTTCAGTGTTTGGGCTGATCTGTTTGGTTGATCTGTGGCTACAGACCAGGCAATTAGTTCCTGCTCCTGTCTCTGGACACAAGAAGTGTTAAGGAGCCAGGGAAATTGTCCAGACAGCCTTTCCCAAGGGTCTTTTACACAGTGTGCCAGCAATATGACCATCTTCAAGTAAAGGTGCAGCTGTCCTGCTGTGGGTGGGAGAGCAGGTAGGACCTCAAGACTGAAGAGTTCCCCCTTCCTCACCCCTGCAACCAAACATTCATCTGCCAAGTGATGGAGAAGCTCATGGCCCAGAGCACCTCGTCAGGAGCAAGCAGCCAAAATACCTGATACAGCTGAAATTGGGAACAGGACCCTCTAAGTTAACACCAGGTGCAAGTGTCAGGCAGCCTGGTCCCCTGTGTCTCATTGTCATGAGTTCAGGTTTGAGATTTTTCTTTTTTTATTGAAGGGGAATTGAAGCTGTTTATACACTGCAAGGAAGCTCATTCCTGCAGGCAGCTTTCTGCAGTGCTGAGCAACCTCAGCCATGCCTCAGTTGTGCAAATTCGGGGAGGTTTGTGAAGTCAGGGTGTTGCCTGGTGTCCTTCCATCTTCTAAAAAGAGTTCTGTGTGTATATAGCAGTTATTCTGTTCTGTTTCTAGAAGAAATCTATGGTTAGCCATATTTTATCTGTTACTAAAATTAGGCTCAGGTCTTGCATATGTGAAGATGGAGGCACTAGGTGGGTTTTCTTGTTTTAAAATTAAACACAACAAACAGAATTTTGTTTTTCTCTCCAGAAATAAGCTAATGTTATATTCATTAGCAGCTGGAGAAGCTGCTTGGGTAGTTTTTGAAGCATAAACCAGCTTGGATTAAGCATGTAGCATCAGTCTGGGCACCTGTAGAGCCTCACTGGCCTTTTGCTGGAGGATAGTCAGTGGACTTCTTGGTTATGTATGGGAACAGGATAAGAAGGACCTACAGGCACCACTGCACCAAGCTCCCCTGAGCTGCCCCACTTCCTACAGAGAGCAGGGACAGCTGTGTCACTCATGGTGGGTGCCAGCTGGGTTTGTTGGAGGGGGAGGCTCTGCAAGGGGGGGGCTTAGAACACAGTTGTCATCTTTTCTGCTGATGAGCAATCGTTCCTGATACCACTGGGGTTTTCCACCTGCCCTGGTGCAGCTGCAGCCTCTGCTTCCATCTCCCACGCACCATCCTCTCGTTTGCACGCAAGCAGGGCCACCCCAACAGCTTGTTCATTGTTTCCCTTGCTTCCCAGTGGCACAACAGAGCTAAACTGCTAGATCTGACCCACAGAAGCCCCGGCTCTTCCCTGCTGTGATCCTAGAGGATGTGCAGCACAGCTCCCTTGAGCGTTGGTACAATTCCCTTCTCTTGAGCTGTATCCCATGAATGTGCTTCACTTGCTGGGTGCCTTATAGCTGATGCAAACTTTTCCTCCTATGGAAAGTGAGAATGAAGTTGCCTAAATTAAGCAATTGTAGCAGCCTTGAAGGATAGAGCTTCCTTTCTGCTTTGAGCTGGTGTTGGCATCAGACTGCCATCATTACGTTTTTCTCCTGTGTTTGTTGGCATAGGAAGGGATTTGTGATTGGGATTTTCTGGCACTTACAGCTCGATGTTTTTCCCCATGAACTATTCAAATGAATTGCTCTTGGATTTTTTAGCACTACTCTGTGGGGTTGGGGAGAGTCAGAACAGAGAGAAATGACTCACTTGACCATGGAGTTTAAAACTTGATGATCTTAGAGGGCAGGCTCTTGTCGGCACTGGTGCATCATCATCATCTCAGCAGGTCCAAGGTCCAGCCCTTTGGATGGGCTGTTGTCCCTTTTGGTTAGGAGGGAGCACAGCTGTGAAAAAGGAAAACATGTGAGTCACAATCAGAGGGCTGCAGGAGCTGCAGCTCTCCCTTCCCCTAGCCAAGCCTTCTCATCAAAATGTTCAGAGTTTATTTTTGGGAGGACAAAAGCTTTCAGATACAGCACTCCAGCCTTTTCCCAGGTGTAATACCTATTCTTTAATCAAAGTTGCCATCAGAGGATGTTCTCCTCTTGGCAGTGAACAGCCTGAGTTACAACTCTTTTAGGGACATTTTAGCATCCTGGTGTGACTTGCTGTTAAAAATTGTTGTGCCCAGGGGAAACTCTGAAAGGGCAAATTCTGACATTTGGGTTCTTAGCAGATCTGAAACCTCATTGTCCACCATGTAGATAAAATTTGAAACAGTGCTGTTTTCAAACAGGAGCCAGGGTGAAGCACTAATGAAATCTGCCAGATTTCTGTAATTTCACTCCTTGTGTAAAGCACATGGAGGAGACATTTCAGGCTTTACTGCAGAGTTAATCCCTTCATGTTTCCCATAATTTGTATAATCCCAGCCTTGCCTTGGGCATGTATGCAAGCTTCTCTCTTTAGAAGTTTCATGAACAAGTCTAAAGAAGTGTTTTGCTCGACAGACAAGACTTGAGAATTTACTCTTTGATGCTTCACATAACAATTGTTTATACATAAAGGTATCTTTTAAAGCAGGGTACTTAATTCTGAGATATTACCATTCTTCTGTCCCTTCTTCCTAATGTCTGCACAATAAGACTTCAGCTGATCAAGAGCTACAAGTAGATAACCTTGAAGAGCAGGCAGTAAACCAGCTTTGTTTTTCCCTTAAGAAAATAATCCTCACAAAAATGCTGAAGCTGTTTCTTAACAAAGATACAGCACTTAAATTCCAAGATAACCTAGCAACCTTCCAGAACCTGAAGGGGCTACAGGAAAGCTGGGGAGGGACTTTTTACATGGGCTTGTAGTGAGAGGAGAAGGGGTAATGGCTTACAACTGGAAGAGAGAAGATTTAAGTGAGACATGAGGAGGAAATTCTTTGCTGTGAGGGTGGTGAGACCCTGGCCCAGGTTGCCCAGGGAAGCTGTGGCTGCCCCATCCCTGGCAGTGTTGAAGGGCAGGTTGGATGGGGCTTGGAGCAGCCTGGGCTGGTGGGAGGTGTCCCTGCCCAGGCAGGGGGGCTGGAATTGGCTCCTTTTCAAGGTCCTTTCCAACCCAAACCATATGTTGATTCTGTGTTTCAGTAGTAATTTTTCAGCCTGAAATTTTTACTCAGGTTTGCAAGCAGCCTGATTGCTGGAGGCAGCTTTTCCACTTTCTGAGGCAGAGGGACTGTTTTCTCCCCAAAACACTCAAAGCTAGTTCTGCTCTGTGACTGTGTTGCTGTGCACTCTGGTGTGAAGGGGGCTGCTGCTGGCACCTCTCTTGAAAGCCTTTTGCAGTTTGGAAAGAACAAATGGCCTGAGATGTAATTTTTGTTGCACAACTGGTTATCCTGAGTTTGTGAGAGCAAACTAGCTCAGCCACTTCTGGAGTTTTCCGTGCTGTGGTCTCCCTTGTACAACAGATTGTCCCCAGGCTGACATTGTTCTTGGGAAGAGCCACCATCAGGCAGCAGGAGCTGTGGATGATAACCAGATACTCTGGAGCTGTGGTGAAAGATTCCTGAAATATTTAGGGAAAACAGCACTATTTTCTCAGGGGTTTTTGTGCTTGATTGCTATGATCACAGTGCTTACTTTGTCCAGGTCTGTTTTATTGTCCATCCGTGAAAAATCATGTTGATTATCAATTCCTTGATAAAACAAAGGAGATAAAATATTATTGGGTAGCTTTCACTCAAGAGTTTGACAATTTCTCAAGGGTGAAAATGGCACAAGCAGCTGGCTATCAGTAATTTAAATTCTTAATCTTCTCTTAAAGAAGTAGAAGCTCCCAGCTCCTGGCCCTGGTACGTGCTGTCAGAGTCTCTTCATGTACCACTTTACATTTCTCAACGGTATAAAGGCAAGAGATGAGCTTTGCTGTGTTAACAACTGTCTTGTCTAACTCTACCCCAAACAAGGCTTGTTTCCAGCAAGCTCCAACCTCATCATGTGCTCCCTGTTCACACTTGCTGGTCTTGCTTTAACTGACAGCTTGGGTGGGATGTCTTGTGATGGTTCATATCTGCTGGGTGACACTCCCGCGTCGGGCTTCTAAATCTCAGGTCTTCAGACATTCAGGCTTAGTAGGTGATCTAAAAACATTGGACGTGGAACAGGAAAATGGATCAAAAAAAGGTGGTTATTTTTTTAAAGGCAAATCCTTTGTTTTGCATTTTGTTTCCTTTAGATTTCCTCAAGCAGAGCACGTATGAAGTCGAGGCGTTCCTAGAGGCCGTTCAGTTCTTCCGGCAGGAGAAGGGCCACTACGGGACGTGGGAAATGATCACTGGCAATGAGACAGAGGTAAAAGAACACCTTCCTGCTTTCTGTTGGCTGGGGATAGGGCAGCCATGAGGGCAGTGAAGGCTGTAAAGCCTCCTGGGGAAAAGAAAGGTATTTTAAAAAGGAACATCTAATGGCTACAAACACGATTTCAGAAGACGTGACGTTTCTTCTTTAATAAATCCTGTGGCGAGGTGGGGTGGGTTTTATTTTTTCTAAAACATGAGCAAAAGTGTGCTGTGAACTGAAGTTGCTGTGCTGTGCAGGAATGTAGGGGTGGCCACATTTCCACAAAAGGCTGATACGTCTACTTTAATTTTATGCTATGGGCTCAGCTGGGCAACAAACACCATGTCCAAAACGCTGTGTCCCAACCCTGGCTGCCACCTCGGTGCTGTTTGTAGTTTTGGTAGATCAGTGAGACCAAAAGCAAAACACACCAAGCTCAGAACCCAGAGTTTGCAGGCAGCAGATACTTGCTCTTGGCTGCCTTGGGCTGTGCTCTGTTTTTCTGCCTTTTCTACCCTATTAATGACAGATAAGAGATACTTTTTTCTTGTGTTGCTATTACCTCTCCTACTAAGCACAGCAGTTTGTGTTGCTTGTCCTCTAATGCCTCCAGAAGCCACCACAGAAGAACAGAACAGCAGCTAAACATACATTTTGAAGCATCTTGTCATTTTGGTTTTCCCTGTTCTTTGGGAATGAAGCTTTTGGTCCTGAGCAGATAAACTAGCAGACCTACTTCTCGTGCCAGACTTCTGGAACAGAATCTTGCACAGTAACAGTCACTCTCAGACACCAAAAATTTGTGTACTTCAGTTCTTCAGAAATGAGATGCTAAGCTTGGGACCTATATTTGGGCACCTGAGTGAGCAGCTTTGGAGCACTGATGGTAGCTGAAGTCACTCCACTGGTCCCTCTGGCATCACTCCAGGTGTGTTTTAGTGCAACTGAGACATTATTTGGGCCCTGATTTGTGGCTTTTTTTCCAAAGCACTCTGCACTCAGCAGCAAATATTTACTTTAGTACCAGCTGCTGGGTGTTTTCCTTGATGAAATCTGCCTTCCCTTTGGGAAAATGGAAGAAAGCCTGATGGAGAGTTCATGATCCAGGGTTTTGTTTTAAGACAGCAGATTATTCTTTTAGGAGAAGTCTGCATTGGAAATGCTGAAAATCTTGGAAACTGGAGAAGAATCTATAAACAGTGTCTTTCCCAGTGCCCTTGTGTCAGGGATTGAAGTTTCCTGCTAAGATATAAATAATAAGTTATTTTAAATAAGGAGTTTCATCCTTCCAGTGGAGGGAATGAGGGGTTTCCTCTTCTTCCCTCCTTTCTTAAGGTATGGAGCTATTATAGTGCTAGTTTCATTTTATGTTTTATTTTTCCTCTTGCTTGCCAACTACTGACTCATAACCCATATTCCTCCAGAGAACTGTAATCAGGAGACATCCAGACTAGTTATGCCATTATCTTCTTACCAATAATTCCTTCTAAGTATAGTGTGTGCTTATGCCTGCTTTGACCCAACATAATAATTATTTTAGGCAAATATCCAAGCGAAGTGAATGGTTTGGAACATGCAGGCTACAATTTGCTGCTGTAAATATCTTTGCAAGATGCCAGTAAATATATTCCCTGACATTCATTTATGGTGACAGAGTCTCCTCAGCCTTAGCTCACACGGGTCTGCCTGGCTGCTGCAAAATGGGTATGGGATTAGCCTGTACCCCATCACTCAGCTGAAGACCTGCTGGTTTGGTTTTTTTCCATTGGAAAAGCTCCTTTTTTGTTCTTTTTAATGCTTTGTTACTAACAAAGGATACATGCAGCTGTAGATGGTGTTTCTGGAGGCAAGCGCCGAAGTGCAGGGTTAAAACCAGGGTGTTTGTCACAGTGCTTGTTGGGGGCAGCAGTGCAGCCAGTGAGAGCACTGCCACACACCCGTTTTGTACTGGAATAACTCCATGGATCAGCACAACACAAATGTAGAAATAACATATTGGCAAATCAAGGATAGCTGAGGAAGGGATCAAAACCCCCAAACCCTTACAGTGCACCTTTGTGTGCAGAAATACAAAGCCCATCCAGCATTCCTAAGAACATTCCCAGAGAGCTCAGATTCTTCAGAAAATGTCTGCTCCGTGGTGACATTTGTCATTTGGTTTATGGTGCTCCAGTTTGGGTTATTCAAGAGACTTCTTTTAAAGTGACTCATTCGTTTAGGACCTGAATTACTCAGTTTTGGCAGGTATTTGAGTCAGCACAGCTGAATTTGAGTGGTGCTGAGGCATAGCCTGGAAGTACTTGAGTTGTATGAAGCAAAAATAATTGGGTATATTATAGGTATATATAGGTAGGGTATTGTATGTTGTGTTTCTGTAGGGGCTGTTTTATGCCCAGGGGGTGCTCTGTTCTACCCTATGTGCCCTGCAGTCAGAGCCCCTTCTCACTTGCTTTTTCTGGCTAAATTTCAAAACCATATCACTTAGCAAACACTCTGCTCAAGCCCCACTGGAGGGGAAGCAGGACTACAGACTTTGTGGGACTTCACTGGAACTGCTGAGCTGGCTAGCAATCCTTTACCCAGAGTGAATCAGGAATGAACAGAACCTTTAGGTGCCTTTTGTCTGCTTTTTTAAAGGGTTACTGTGTGATTTGCAGTATATCCACTGCACTCTAAAGCTTTCAAGAGGCTGTGGGCAACCTCCCTTGTGCTGGAAAGTTGGGTCAGATAAAAAGCTTTGATGAGAGGGTTATGATCTGCTCTGTGTAGCTCATGAACCTTAGTATGGCCTCTGCCATCATTCATTGGCAGCTGTGTGTCTGGAACTGGGCCAGCACAAACACACCTGGGCAAGAGCTATGGACAGAAAATGAAGGTGTCTGGAAATTCTAAAGATGTCCCTCCCTCCTCTGGGCCATGAGGGTGAGTAATGACTGGACCAAATGCAGGAATGAGGTCTTTAGTTCAAAATTGAGGTGCTTGGATTAGAGAAATTGAAGAATCCAGGGTCTATCCCCAGATGCCTCCATAGGAAATGTGTTCAGAGACCTGAGATCACAAAAGCATAGAAATTGGGCAGGTCCCAGGGTGAAGTGCCTCCCTCTGCTTGCATAGCTTGCCTTGTTGGCCAACAGCAAGAGGAGAGCACAGGAGGAAGAGAGGTCTTGCAGCTTCTTCAGGCCAGAGACACAGTGCCCATAAATACAAACCTGGAGAGGAAAGCCTAGACTCCCAAAACCAGATGTGTGCCTGGAACTCTGTATTTATTGCCAGGCTGGTGCACCTGAGTGGGATGGGCAAGGGAGAAGTTGTAGCTCAAATCTAGGCAGAGGAGGTGCAAAGCCTGATGGAGAGTGGGTTGTTCTGAAGAAAATGCCTGAAATGGGTGCCAGTGGGAGAACCAGGAATCTGTCTCACACCATTTCTTTCTTTCTGTATCAAAGACACCAGACTTGGGATGCTTCTGATGTACAGAGCTGGGTTACACTATCAAGAGAACCACAGAACTAGAGAAGAATGTGGTTAAAAGGGGACCTCTGGAGGGGTCTGGCCCAATCCCCCATTCAAGGCAAAGCCAATTCTGGGGGCCATGGGCAGTTGAGTTCTGAAGATACCCAAGGTTGGGGATCACATGACTTGTTCCCATGACTGCCCTTGTGGTCAAAAATGTCTTAATACCTGATTTGTGTTTCCCTTGTTGCTCCTTGCAGCTGTCACCTTCTTCCCTCCCCTGTGCATTTCCAAGGAGGGTCTAGCTCTGTCTGCCCAACATCCTCCATCATGTAGTTGCAGACAGCAATAAGGTTCCCCTGAGCATTTTCATCTCAGGGCTGAGCAAACCCAGTTCTCTCCACCTCTCCACACCATGTGCTCCATCCCCTGACCACCTTGGTGACCTCTGCTGGACCTACCCCAGTGTGTTCAGATCTGTCTTGTACTGGGGACCCCAAAACCAGACTCTGCTCCAGTTGCAGTCTGACAAGTGGTGAATAGAAGGGAATGTTCTGCTCCCTGGACCTGCTGTTGGCCTCCACTGGCAGAGCACCCTGCAGACCAAGGTTGAAGCTCCTGCCCACCAGGATGCCCAAGTCCCTTTCTGCAAAACTGCTTTCCAGCCAGTTGTTGCCAGCCCACACTGGTGCAGGAGGTTGTTCCAACCCAGATGTTGGACTGTGCCTTTGCTTCTGCTCAATTTCATGAGGTTTCTGTCCACTCATTTCTTCAGCCCATCTGGGTCCCTCTGAATAGCAGCCTTGCCTGCCAGCATATTGACCACTCCCCCAAATTGGTATCATCTGTATTCTCAGTCTTTTCTTTCTAATTGGAACCATCTGCAGGACTGAATTACCAGTTAGATGCTGGGATCAGAGAGGGTGATGCATCTCCCCTGCAGCCACTGAACCCTGTTTCAAAGTGAAAACATCCCTGAGGGAGAAAAGTACCCTGTGTCAGTTTAGAAAAGTACAGCATTGATAGACTGATGCTGTACTTACAGAAATATCCAAAACCTGGGGCAGTGATACCTTCTTCTCAGTTTTCCTACATTCCATCATGAATGCTTGATGTGTAGAAGTCCCTTTGGTGCTTTTCCTCCCCCTGCCTGTGTGCTGTGGTGCTCGTTTGTCATAGAATATCTTCTAAAGTTATATATTGAATATGGTTTTTGTTGAAGAACCTGTAGGTGTTGGGAGGAGACTTCAACATATATTAATTCTAAACTATGAAAGTTACTGGTGTTAGACCAAAATAGTTGTTTTTAGAGACAAGATAAAATGCTTGAATAGTTTTTCACAAACTCCAACAGTTATTTATTTTATCCCTTTTGCCTCAGGATTAGGCTGGAGCTAAGGATTCTTTTGGATCATGTTACACATTTTTGAGAAAAAAGAACAGAGTAGAATTATTTGATCCCTGGATTACCCACATGTCTGGATTCCATTTCTGTCCTATATCCTGTTTTTCCTGGGATCTCCTTCTTCTCTTGCATGAATTGTGAAGTTGGTGCTCACCCAAAAAAGTGGTAGAGATGCACACTGAGAGAGTCACATATTTCTTTTCTTGGCTAATCATCTTCCTATTAGAAACATCCTTTGTCTGTTGACTCTCTAGGACAATTTCTTCTCAATGATGCCTCCTCTGGGAGAGTGTGAGTGTCCCAGAACAAGGTCAGTTTGGGGAAGCAGCAAGTCTGCAAACCAGCTTTTCAAATGTTTTTGGTTTAGTTGCTGAGGTGATATCAATTATTTTAGCTCCATTTATTTGCACATAGCAGTCTCATCATGTTTTTTTTTTTTGCATGTGGCAGTTTGTGTGCAGCAAATTTTAACAGGCATCTTAGTTCAGCATCTTGGTTCATCTGTTGTCAGTTGTTGCATGGGCTCTAAATGTTTTCCAGTGGGAAAATGCTTCAAATGAAATGCCTGGAGCTTCCTTCAGACATGCCCCTAATGCTTTAAATCCAGTCCTCCCTGTGCTCTTGCACACTTGAAGTTGCCTGTGTTTGCACATCCTGCTGTGGTGCAGTTTTCAGACGGAGGAGATGCCATTTCAATCTTCTGACCATGTAGGTCCTGAGCAACTTAGTGATGGAGGAGCTCCTGCCTAACCTTCAGACAATGATCCTGCCTAAAATGAAAGGGAAGAGGAATGACAGGAAGAGGGCCTGGCTTGGGGTAAGTACTTGGGGTAGTTGTTTCTCACAGGGGTTGTCTGGGTGTGCTCAATCTCCTCAACGCTTCCTAATTTCGTTTGGGTTCAGATTGTAGAAGAAACTTACAGCCTGGTCCAGCAGCAGGTGGCAGAAGGACTAAGTGCCTTGAAAGAAGAATGCAGAGATTTTGCAAAAAACCTTGAAGGAACTATTCGCTCGGACATGGATCAGATTCTGAACTCCAAGAACTACTTAGCTGGAAAAATCAGAGGTTAGTGGAGGAACAGCTTTGGAGCAGTTTTTTAAATGTTGCCCATTTAAATGTTGCTCAAACTGCCAGATGTCACTGTTTGGAAATCCTTGTGTGTTTGACAAATCCAACTGGAGACACTAGTTTTCAGAAAATAAATGCTTTGGGACTCTGCTGCCTCTGATGGAAAGAGGTAACTGTGGCTGCTGTGGCTGTGAAGATACCAGCTCTTCTCAAGTTGGAGCTAGATTGAGTATCCTGGCTGGAGCTGCTCATTCTGCTTCATTTTCCCTTGGACAGCCTTATGTAAGGAAGATAGAGGTGACCTGAGCATCATCAGAAGTCCAGTGGTTTTGACCTGGTGTCTAGGAATGTGCCACAAAAGTAGGTCCTGGTAATGTGGTAAATTCATGGGCTACCCAGGCATATTGAAATCAAAAGGCTTCTTAGGTGGTTTTAAGCTAATATGAAGTGATGTCATTTTGTTATGAATATAAAAGTGAGTGTAAAAAGGAGGAACAACATTAGTTGACACTGCTTATGGTAGCATATAGATGAATAGCTGATAGTTTAGGAGCTGCTTTGGTAAAACCCAGGGTGTTCTGCTGATACTCCCACATTCCAGACGAGGGTGCTGTCAGTGAAGTGTAGAGCATCAAGTTGAGATAACCTCTCCTAGAGTGATGGTGGCCATGCTGCCTTTCCTCTGCTCTCCCAGTGCCCCCAGGCTGCTGGTGTTTGTGCAGGTGGGGCATGGGGAAAGATGCTTCATTGTCACTCATAAAACTATCAGGTCTCCTTTCATTGCCCTCATCCCCTCTGTGGAGGTGACTCCAGGGAAAACAGGGAGGCATGGAAGTAATGATAAAGTAGACCAGGTTACTGTTTCCACTACATCTCTCAGGAGCCTAAATGCAACCTTTTTATTGTCTGACACTCCAGCCACTGTTTCTGAGCCTGCCCAGAAGTGCTGCACAGAAAATATCCAGCCATTCCTTGCCTCCATATTAGAGGAGCTGATGGGCCCAGTGAGTTCTGGATTCACCGAAGTCCGCTCACTTTTTGATAAAGAAGTTAATGAAATCATCCAGGACTTCCAGAAGACAAATGACATCACCAAGCTAAAGAAGGTAAGGCAGAACTGTATTTGGAGCCTTTTGTATTACCACAAAGAGCTTCTAGCTGCAACTTGATGGGCAGCAGTACAGAATGTACCCTCAGCACGTTTGCTGGTGACACTGAGCTGGGAGGAGGGGCTGACACACCAGGGGCTGTGCTGCCATTCAGAGAGACCTGGGCAGGCTGGAGAGTTGGGTGGGGAGAAACCTGATGAAGTTCAACAAGGGCAAGTGTAGAGTTTTGCATCTGGGGAAGAGAAACACCATGTACCAGTACAGGTTGGGGGCTGACCTGCTGGAGAGCAGGGCAGGAGAAAGGGACCTGGGGGTCCTGGTGGGCAGGGGGATGAGCATGAGCAGCAATGTGCCCTTGTGGCCGAGAAGGCCAATGGATCCTGGGGTGGGTTAGAAAGGGGGTGGTTAGTAGGTCAGGGAGGTTCTCCTGCCCCTCTGTTCTGCCCTGGTGAGGCCACATCTGGAATGTTGTGCCCAGTTCTGGGCCCCTCAGTTCCAGAAGGACAGGGAACTGCTGGAGAGAGCCCAGGGCAGAGGCACAGAGATGCTGGAGGGAGGGGAACATCTCCCTGCTGAGGAAAGGCTGAGGGAGCTGGGTCTGTTGGGCTTGGAGAAGAGGAGACTGAGGGGCAACCTCATCCCTGGTTACAGATCTGTTCAGGGCAGTGTCAGGAGGGCAGAGCCAGGCTTTGTGCAGGGATGTCCAGTGACAGGACAAGGGGCAGTGGGTGCAAACTGGAGCCCAGGAGGTTCCATGTGAATCTCAGGAAGAACTTGTTTGGTGTGAGAGTGCCAGAGCCCTGGGCCAGGCTGCCCAGAGAGGCTGTGGAGTCTCCTTCTCTGGAGACATTCCAACCCCCCTGGCCACGTTCCTGTGTGATGTGCTCTGGGTGCCCCTGCTCTGGCAGGGGGGCTGGGCTGGGGGAGCTTTCCAGGTCCCTTCCAACCCCTGGGATTCTATGATTCTATGATTTGCTTTCCCAGGTGTGGTGTGATGGTGTGTGGTTTGTCTGTCAGAAAGCCTGGTGGTGTCTGTGCAGCTGGGCTGTAGGTACCAGCATTTGTCTTCAGGCCACCATTGCATGCATCTATTGAACATTTGCCTCTGGTTGCTTTCTCTCTAAACCTGTTCTTCCTCCACTGGAATGCAGAATGTGGATCAGTTGATGAACCTACCATTCAACTCTGTGAAAATGGAGCCCTGCTACCTGAAAGTGAACCTCCTCCAGGAGCTCCTCCAGGACCTCAAGAGTCGCTTCAAGGTGTATCACATTGATTTTGTGATTCAGAGGACACAGAACTTCATGCAAGAGGTAAGATCCAGTTTTTCCTCCTGGGAGAACAGGTTAGGTTTGTCCTTCTAATCTGCTTCAAAGTAATCTTGATAAGAAGCTGCCCAAGTGTCTCAGAATATCTCTCAGTCAAAGTACAGATAACAGAACCTAAGAAAATCACAGCTAGAAGCTGTTTGACATTTATGTTTGTGAGGCTGTGTTTGTGTGAGTCTCTCAGCAAGGCACAACAAATAAGGATAGATCATCTCTTCCCTTCAACTTTCATATTTTGAATTCTTGGTGTCTCAGCACCTGAGAAAGTTGTACTTGTAACCCATGAGGTGGCTAAAATCTACCCGTTTGCCATTCTCAAGGGTTGATTTTTCAGAAAGGGTCTAAAATATATTTTACCAATATAGAACCTCTCCTTGGTAGTTTATTTTCTCATGAACATAAAGTAAGGCAATTAATGTTAGAAACTGGCAACTTCTTGGACAGATAATGTCTCAGGATGTAGCTGCATGTAGTTGCTTGAACCAGTTTCACTTCTCATGGGCATGGTTGAGGTGACTGCATCATTTGGGATGAAACATGAGCCCCACCTCTTTTTCCCCTCTTCCATGTATTGGTATAAGCCAGAATTTTGCTTTGCTTTCTTTCTTCTGGATGCCTGGCCAGAAATCTATTAGGAGCTGACCCCTAGGCTGCTTCCAGTTGCCAGATCACAAGGCAGACTTGGCCTTCTAGCTTGATGTTGAATCCTGTGATTTTAATCTGGAGCTGAGAAACTAAATAGCCCAGTCAGTAATCTTGTGAGATGGAGCTGGTCCAGTTCTGTGGAGGGGGAGGTATGAATATGGAAAATGAGTCTCTAGCCCAGTGCTGGGGTAGGGTTTTCCTGCAAGCAGCTCTGCTAAGTACAGCCATGACCAGCAGCCAAAGAATTATTCAGAAATAAAAATCTGATTTCATGTCTGGCTCTTTGAAGGGGGATCATTCCAAAATGCTGCCAAATAAAATGTCTTTCATTAAGGTAAGGCCATGAGTGAGGAGGAAGAAGCAGACAGAAAACAGATCCCATACAAGCCAAGTGGTATTTTTTTCTGAACAACAGGAGTCAAAATTCACAATAAATAAGTTAGGTTAGAGCACAAGTTGTTCTAAAAATGCTGTTACTGCTTTTCTCTCTCTTTAAAGGCTGGTATTTTCCTCATAAAAATAGTAAGTAGTTTCACCTTGTGTCCATGGACATGTATTTTATTAATGAGTAAGATCAGACAAGTCTGTGCTTGCAGACTCTTAACAGAAAAGCTTCTGAGGCTGGAGCAGGATTCCTTGGCTCGGGAACTCGGCGTCCTCTAGTGGCCAATTTTAGGCAATTTGGGAGCAGGATGCTGAGCTGGCATTTTAAAGAAAGCAGCTTTAGTGACTTCACCAGAACCAGGCCAATTTGCTTCAAATAAAAATGGAAATAAAAAGTGAGTGGTTGATCTTTTAGTCAGCCTCAGACTTAACTCTGCCCTGGTCCTGCCTCCTGCTTGTGTCCCAAGCCTTGCAGTGCAGGAGCAGTCACTGTGCAGCCTTCTGATGCACACACCAATGGGATAAACCTCCATCTCCTCCATTTCCATTTATAAATACAGTCTGGATAATCCAACCCTACAAAGGCAATTATAAAAATCGGCCTTTAACGTTTCTCACTGCGTATTTGTATTCATGAAAGTAGCCTTGGCCAAGGAGGAATTAAAAACATGTCTTATCCCAAAGTACCTATGTATTGATTTCCCAACTCTGTAGCATTTGGGTGTCTTATCAGCTGGGATGGTCCCATGGGACACACAAGAAGACCTGGCTGTCTGGACAGCCTCCCTGTGGATGTTCCTGTGCTTCTCCCAATATGAATAGAGCAAAATGTGAATGGAAACACCAGCTAAAACCCACAAAATGTTCTTAGGTAGATGTAATTACCACTTGCAGAACTATTTTCCCAAAATAGCTCCTCAGAGCAGAGTTTTAAATATTTTTACTGCATCTCTGGATAACCTGAAAATATGGCAAGTGCCAGCCTAGTGTCATTCTGTGAGAAGTTATTGCACTCTGTGTGATTTTCTGTGATAATTTTATTTGTTATAAGGAAAGCTACTGCTTAATTACTTTTAAAAAATTACTTGCAGTATTAATGACAGAGACCTTTAAAATCTGGTAAGAATCAATGGGAGCCTTCTTGGGGATCATTTGTTTTGTCAATGGCCTTGATATATAGATGATCAATCCTGCTCTTTGTCACCATCAGTTATGTTGGTGACATGAAATTAAATCTAAACAAGAAAGCTATGATAGCATAATAATGATACTAAGGCTTAATTTTCTTGATTAATTGCAACATTTCTGGGCACGTTAGCCTTTGTAGAACTGAAATCCAGCAGAAAAAATCTGGACAATATAACTGAGTCTACCCTGAGTGAGTTTGCTAAGAAAACTGTTTGTTTAGTTATATTAGTGGACTTCCCAGTATTGACCTGCCTGTAAGCTCAAGATAGGAGCTGAAGTAGTTCCATTTTCTTACTCTCTTCCATTAGGTAATCTTTTTGGTTTCCCATTCCAAAACTGAGAGTGGCAATCTAAACTAAATAAGGCTTTTCTTTTCCCCTTCCACAATCTTTGGAAATACTTGTGATATTTATTGATTTTAGACCCATTATTCTTTCTCCGTTTCACCTTCTCAAAAATACAATGGAAGTTAATGGTTATAATTGATCATGCTTCTTTACATCTGCAGGAATTTAATGTGAATGGTCTTTAACAGTGTTTTGTTTTGTTTTTAATGATTGTTTTTAGCTGATGGAAAATGCAGTTTATACTTTTGAGCAGTTGTTCTCTCCAAGTCGCCAGGCGGACTCGGCGAAGGTTGCAACAACCATTGAAAAAGTCAAGCTGAGAGTACTGAAGGTAAATGTGACATTGCAGCATTTGCACAGGAAGTCCTTAGGTTCTAGGAATGGAGAATGTATTTTATGTGAATACCCTCAGTATTTGAAAGATCATTCCTACCATCCAGCTGGAAAGACCCCTTTGGTGGCACTTGGCAAAAACCTGCTGACTTGGCGGGTAAAACTTAGTTCTGGGCAGACACTTGTAGAAGTGTTTACAGGTGCAGCCCTTTCAACTGCAATCAGATCAGCTGGAGGTGATGCTGTGGATCTGGGTAAATTATTTTTATTAGTTTTATAATTAGCCTGCCCCAAGTATTCATGACTCGTGGAAGTGGCAGTGCTGAACTTCCCAGAGAGCAACTGGGGCTGTTTCTAGCTGAGGTAGGAAATAAATAAGGGAAAGAGATCCCAGCAAACTAGATTTTAGAGTATTTTTGTAAAAGCTGGAATAACCTGCATGGGAATTCCAAGCCCTTAGTGCTTCTGTAAAGTGGTATCCTTTGGGATTCACCTCTCACCAGTTACAGGATAACAAGAACCAGTTCTTCCTGTGAGTGATGAATAACCCCAAACACATTTGGGCTTGTTTCTCTCTTTGTGTGTTTTGACAGCAATTTGATTATGACAGCAGCACTATCCGTAAGAAGATATTTCAAGAGGCACTGGTACAGATCACTTTGCCCACCATGCAGAAGGCACTGGCTTCAACCTGCAAACCAGTAGGTTTCTGGGATTTAAAGAAGGAAACAAAAGAATTGGTGGGGAAGGATTAATGCCCTGGCAGTGAATCCTCAACTCTGTAAAGCTGTTTTCTCTCAGGGAGTCCTGTGGTGCAGACTGGCTGCCTGCTCAGCCAAACGATGCTCAGATTTGCCAGTTGGAGCACAGGGAAGATTTCAGGGATCAGGGAAACCTTGTGTACAGCTGTCTTGCTCAAAGATAGTTGCAGATCTTTGCCCGTCCCCATTTCATTTCTTCCCTAGGGAGCTGAAGTCTCCTCAAGCTGGACTCCTGGACAGCTAGGGTTGTGTCCTTGTGTTCAGCAGCCCTGCAGTCCACGGGGAGGGCTCTTTCCTCTTCAGCAGCACCTTGTGACAACTTGGGCAGCAGGAGCAGCAGGCAGGCAGGCAGGCTGTGCCCTTGCTCTCAGCCACTTTACATGGAAGTTATTTCATCAGCAACCAGGAAACACACAGAGATGTTTTGTCACCCTTCATCATGTGGGTAGCTCAGCACTCAGCAAGTGCAGCTACCTGAGTTTTGTGGAGATGTTATCAGAGTGGCCACGTCAGAGGCCAGTTGGAATGCTGTTCACCTGGGCTCCAAATAGTCTGTGCCCTTCCTGAAGCCCAGGCAGATCCTCTTGCATTTGCAGTGTACCTGCTGAAAGGTCACTGCCCTAAGCCACTCTTTTTTTGCCTCTGGTGTCCCCTCAGCTCCTGGAGGCTCTCAGCTCTCACCCACAGTCTGCTGCTCTTGCTGATCCTTTCCAGCTTGTTGCAGTTTCAAAACCAAGTTTAAAACCAAGTGTTTTGCCAAGTTATGCTTGTGAGCCTTTGAGTATGGGTTATTAAAACTTAAAATGTTAAAAAAGATACTAAAAATCATTCTCTTCTGTATGTCACTCTGCTTTCTTTACTATCCCCAAACTAATAGTCTCTTTGTAGAGTGTCAGCAGTGCCTTCAAGACGTGGTGTCCACGCACAGGGACAAGCATTTCATCACCCTGAATGTATGCAGGGAGGGTGGGGTCCCACACGGAGGCTCAAGTCATGCAGCATGGAGGAAGCAGTGGTGGGGCAACCTTCCCACCAGCCTTGTGCCCTTGTGCCTCTGCAGAAACGAGCAGGCAGCTCTAAAACCAAACGTGTGGCACAGATGTTGACAAGCTCAGCCAAGGCTTCACCTTTTGCTTGAAAACCCCCAGATGTTTGCCTGTAGGTGCCTCTTCTAGAAGTGGGCAGAGGCCACTTAATTTACTGGTTCATAGACCACCCAGCAGCTGCTTAGTGATAATGACCCAATTACTGTCTAGACAGCCTATTGCCTATAAATCAGCCAGCTAGAAGTATTACACACCTATTAGAAAAACAAAACCAAACCCTCTATGTCCAGTGCTTGCCATGGATTTGCCTCCTTGCACAAACAGTGAGACATTGCCTTGCCAGCTACTTACTTCAGGATTGTTTATTACAGTGCAGATGGCAAGGATCTATAGTGCTTCTCAGTGTAATTGTAGTGCAAGAATACTGCTTGGTAAGTGCACAATAAATGGTGAACATCAGCAGTTCATTTAGTCATAGTTCAAAGAGTGCACCTGAAGAGCATTGCAAGACCTGCTGGGTGGCATCTCCAAGGTGCTCTGTTGAAGTAGGACCCTCAGAACCTCTCATTTTTATGTATCTGTTCCTTTCTTTGTGTCTGCACAGGAGCTGCAGAAATACGAGCAGTTCATTTTTGCTGATTACACCAGTGTGATCCAAGTAGAGAATGTGTATGAGGAGATTTTGTATCAGACGCTGCTTGAAGAAACCCTGAAAGGTGAGAACATTCTTGAGGTGACAGTAACAACATTTCAGCTGTGGGCCACTGAGCTTTTCCTTCAGAGCTTCCCAGAGCCCCAGCCTGGCTGTTTCAGACCCAGGTCCCGCTTTCCCAAAGCCTGGGGGTTACAGTGCCCCAGGGTTTTATTCAGCTCACTGATGATGTGTGACAAGCCCTAAAATCTGAATGATGAGGCAGCTTCATTAAACCTGGGAAGCTGCAAATTATACCTTGGCAGAGGCCTATTTTCTGGCTGTTTCCAAACATAAGTACTGCACAGTAAGTTTGGACAGGCCCTCTTTGTGAAAAAATATCAGTATAATAGTGAATGCAACGAGCACACTTTTATTCATATGTTCAGTGTAAATACTTCTTCACTGAAACTTTACCTTTGTGCGTTGCGGGTCCTCTGGCAGTTTTCTATTACTGAAGCTACAAAACAGATCAAATCCCCACCCCCAGAAAGAAATGTGAACTAAAAGCAAGTTGACAGTGCAAGTGACTGCTGGCTGTAATGCCCACATTTGTGACAACAGGCACTTGTGGCAATGCTGTGCCCTCCCCAGGCTGCCTCGGCCGGCCTCTCCGAAGCGGTTTGATCTTTCTGTTTTGTTTAGTGATTAAAGAAGCTGCCATTATGAAGAAGCACAACCTCTTTGAAGACAACTTGAACCTGCCCTGCGAAAGCGTGTCCAGCTTGGCAGAGCTGAAGACCCCCTCGGGATCAGCACAGACCACCCCTGCCAAGAAGCCTTCGGGAGCCCCGGGCGGGACGTGCGGGACGGAGGCGCCGAGCGACGAAACCCTGGTGGTGACAGCACAGATGTCCTGGGAGAAGGAGGCTGATGAGCAAGAGGCATCAGACACAGAGGCAGGCACTGCTGTGCAAGCAGCTGCTGGGCAGGAGAGCCAAAGGGAAGACGTGGACGTGACAGGCGGCAGCAAAAATCCAGCCATGCTTACACGAGAAGTTGCGGAGGGAAAAAGCGCTTTGGAGAATGAAGACGGGGTGAAAGCAGAGGGTGTGGTGACCACTGAGAGGGAGCTTAAGACACAGCAAGAAGCTGTGGAGGAGAAAGTAGCTCCTGGCACTGAAACTGCAGTGAAAGATTGTGGAGCCAGCCCTGAAAAAGAACACCAGGCACATGAAGTAGAGGAAGAGGTCACTTCTGGGAGTGAAACGGCAGGAGATGCTGTGTGTGTCAGTGGCACTGAAACAGAAAGCAAAGCACAGGAAGAAGTTGCTGAGATCAAGGTGACTTCCCCACATGGTAATGTAGCAGAAGCTGAGATTTTAGGGAATGCTGAAAAGAAAATCAAGATAGAAAAAGAAATTACGGGAAAATTATCTCAGAGTGACAATGAGGTAGGAACAGAGTTTGAAGAGGAGAGTGAAAAGGAAAGCAGTGACCAAGGAGCAAGTCCTGTGACAAGGGTTATTTCCAAGGATGAAAACAAAGGGAAAGGGGGGGTTGGGGATAACCCTGAAAAAGAAAGCAAGTCAGAAGAAAAGAGTTGTAAATCTCCTGATGATGTCAGTGAGATAAGGAGTTTGCTTATGTTAACAGTTGAGATACCAGCAGCTACTCCAGCTGAGAACATAAAGGAGATTTGTGAAGGTGAGATACTGAAGTTGCAGGAGCACAATAAAGGGAAGGAGGAGCTGAGCAAAGTGGCTGCAGCAGAAAGTGAAGTGAGCCAGATAATCATGAATAAAGATAGAGCTGAATGCACAGAGTTCAGGGAGGAGGGACTGTCTATTTTGGAGACAGATTGTAGGAATTTAGTGGATGTATCTGAGGGGTCCTGCAAGATGGTGCAAGAAGAATGGCTGGTGGAAAGCTCGGATATGTCTCAGGAGGCAAAGGCAGGGGTGGAGATGAAGCAAAGCATTTGGTACACAGGTGCGGGAAGCTGCCACAGTGATAGATTGCAGCCAGGGGGATGCACTGAACCCGTGTCTGAAGGCAAGAGATTATCTGGGGGGGAGGGAGGGGCAGGGGGTGGCCATGCTGTCCCACTGGAGGGAGGGACTGAGAGCTTTTCTCATAGCTCTGCTGAAAATGCCTGCACAGCACCAGGGCCCATGTTGGATACAGAAAACCCAAGAACAGGACTGCTGGACCTGCTGGTGTCTGTGGTGCCAGAGCAGGGCCAGGTTAGCACCCTGGAGCTCACAGCAGACCCAGGGCCTGGTGAGAGCAAAGGGAAGCCAGAAAATGAATTGTCCTCACACACAGAGATAATAAGCAGAGGAGTAAAAGAGAATTTCACAGAAGAAAGCAGAGAAGATGGTTATGCACAGCAAGTCTCCGAAGAGTAAGAAGCATTTCTCAGCCCAGCCCTGCAGGATTTATTTACTCCAGCAATCCCCGTGTAGCTGTGAATGCTCACTTGGGTCGGGGCTAGAGGAAATGGGCTTTCTTGTGGTACCACCAGCTCTTGCAGATATAGCACAGATCCCTTCCTCAGTGGTGGGTGAGAGGTTTCTTTGCAGTCAGAGCCCTCACTCTTTAAAACCGGGTGACTCTTGGGGAAACTCATTTTTTCAGTGAAAATTTGCTACCTTTTATGGCTGTAGGAAAAGTCTGCAAACATGACCCCTGAATACTTCACAAGCAACACACCCCCAGCTGTGAAGTCATTTGAACAGCTTGACTGTTTTAGCAGGGGAGTAGGTCCTGGTTTTTAATTTGACAAGTCCTGCTGTCATTCCCAGGTGGTTGGTACAGACGTTGCTATTCGAGGCTGCTTCTGGCATTGCATGCAGTGTATGGGAAATAAATACCACTTTTTGCAGTGAAACAGAGCCAAATAGTGAAATTAGTAGGTTGCTCGAAAGCCACAGTCCATGCAAGTTCTGCAAACTAGTCACTTAATTAAGTTTTCACAGATATTAAAGACAAACAATTCTGATTTTTTTTCTCTTATTGCTCTATTTAAAACGGGGAAAATATGGGAGCAGGTTTCTCAGTCCCACTCTGCACTTCTGGGTTATTTAGCCTTCCAGAGCACTTTATGGCTATTTTATTTTGTTTTATTTTATGGAAGGGAAAGATGAGAATGTTTACAATAACCACAACCATTAGGCAGCATCTTTCTGTTTCACTTCCCACCATAAAATATATTCACGCCTGGTTATCTAATAGAGAAAATTCTGAGTCCTGCCATTCCCATTCTTCCTGACTTAAGTTAGTTACCCAGTTCTGTAAGCCTTTGTAGGTTCATAAACTCTAAATTCAGTTCACTAACTGTAAATTCCTAAGCTGTAAATAAGGTTCATAAATTGCAGTCATTGTGAAGGATCAAAATCATTGCCCGTAGTTTCTAATACAGGTGTTAACTGAAGGGAAAAGGGCTCAGGGGTTATTCATGGGATCTTGGGATTCTGGAGGGCAGAATTGCCTTTCAAAAGCAGTTATTAAAATGAGACCTGTTGCTTTCATAGCTGGCATGTTGCCATCCGTGCCAGGTCACCAGCTGTGCACAAAGTGCCTTCCACACATCATTGCTTGCACGACTCCAGCGCCTGCAGGGAACAGCCTGGAAGTGAAAGGTGGTCTTTTCACAAACTGGGCTGTAGGGATCAAGATCTCACTTCAGAGATCAGTTTCAAGGCACCTTAAAAACTCAGCCTGGTGTTTCAGACTGTTTCTGAATAAATATCATGCAGCACAGGACAGCAAAGGTTGATGACAAATACAGTGAGGGCTGCGGGATTTACGCCCATAAAGACATGGGAAAAAATAACAAAGTCCTGGGAGCCTTAATACTTGTTGACATTTAACTTCAACAAGCTGTGTGAAGCCTATTATTTAATGCTATCAAAATATGCTATAATACTAACAGAGGATTGACACTAGAGGAACAGGCAAATATTACTGCATAAGGCAGGAACGTTGTTGAGTAACTGGACCAGCTGCCGTGTCACTATTGTAACATAAATGCAACTCCTATTTATTCCAGAAGCCACAACGTGGTACAGAAACATTAAGGTCACAGATGTTTTCCTTGCTGAAGTACTTTTGACTTGTTCCCTCCTCATATTTCAGACAAAAATGCTGATTTGTAAACACAGACAAACCACCACCAGTAAGTTTGGGTTGTTTTGTTTGGTTTTTTTTTTTACAAATCAATAGTTGTTTCACTGTCAGCTACTCTGCTTTTTTTTATTTACAAACCATTAGTTCTGAATTAGCTACATCTGCACAGAAGGTGCTCAGCACCACGATTCCCAACTTAGTAATTGTTATTTCCATGGCAGGCTCAGAGCCAGGTCACCTTTTCCTGCAGTAGGGAAGAATGGAGCTGTGGAACACGGATGCTCAGCCTGTTCTTCTGAGGAAGGAGGGGAAGGAACACGATAGGCTGGGCCTGTAGGAACCTGTGTCCTGCCATGTAAAGTCTGTGAGGGCTGGAGAATTGGTATTTCCCCCCTCCTAGGTGGACATCTTCTGTACATTCAATGGGCAGAGAGTTGCACTTTTCTTGCCTTCAGGCAGACCCGGGACAGGGGGTGGCAATTCCGAGGTCAGCAAGGTTACCTCAGACCCCCCATCCAAAATAACAGTAATTCACCCTTTCAGCAACTTTTGGAGCTGCACTGGAGTTTCCTACGCTCACCTGGACTGGATTACTTCTCTTGTAACCCCAGAACGACAATAAATCACCTTCCCTGGCGCCGGGGGGGGACGTGGCCCTTGTTTCAGTGCCCGGGGCTGCCGAGGGGACAGGGAACACTGAATGTTGCTTTGTACAAACGCGTGTAACGACAATAAAAGCGGCTCCTCCCCTTCCGTGGCTGGAACGTGCGGTGTGTGCGGGTGCTGAGCCGGGGCTTGTGCTGAACCCCTGCGCTTCCTGCTCGTTCCTGTGCTCACACCTGGGATCCCAGGGCCCATCCCGGATCCCGGGCCCATCCCAGGGCCCATCCCGGATCCCAGAGCCCATCCCGGATCCCAGAGCCCATCCCAGAGCCCATCCCGGATCCCAGAGCCCATCCCGGATCCCAGAGCCCATCCCAGAGCCCATCCCCGATCCCAGGGCCCCTCCCGGATCCCAGAGCCGATCCCAGAGCCCATCCCGGATCCCAG